TGTCATCCCTATCACCAGCATAGTCTGAATCAGTATAACCATTCAACAGAGCAACTTAAGATTGTTTCCAAAATTGAATTCCTGCATCTGATGTATCATTAATATATCTAAGAAGCCATTTCATGGTTTCCCAATGAACTTCACCTAGATTTGACATATATCTACTCAAAACACTTATTGAATATGTGAAATTTGGTCTAGAACAAACCATAAAGTACATCACAGACCCAACTACATTAGAATAAAGCACTCTTGCCATTATTTCAAATTCTTCTTTATATTTTAGACATTGTTCGTTAGAAAGTTTGAAATGGTTAGCCAAAGACAAACTCACAATTTTTGAATCAGACATAGAAACTTATTTAACAATTTCAGCATATATGATTTTTGGCTAAGACTTAGTGTGCATTCCCTTCTATTCATTTTAACTTCAATACCCAAAATCCTCCTCATGGGACCTAAGTCTTTCATTTCAATTTCTGATTTCAGTTTGTTTTTGATATCTTCTATCTCTTTTATGCCATGACTTGCCAATAACATGTCATCCACAAAAAGGAGCAAATAAAGAGAATTTTCTCCACCGTTTCCTTTACAATATTGGCATGTATCAAAATTACTTCTCTTAAAACCAAGTCCAAGCACAGAATTATTAGTTTTTTTATACTATTGCCTTGGAGCTTGTTTTAAGTCATATAAGGATTTTTTAAGAAGTTTTTACATCCAATTGATCTAGTTCCCAATTAAATTGAGTGGCTAAGGCTAGAATAACCCTAACAGTTGGAAATTTCACAACTGGGAGAATACTCCATTGAAACCAACTCATTCTTTTTATGTAAAATCCTTTGCCACTAGCCTAGCTTTATATCTGATCTCATTTTCAATTTATTCCCCCCTTTTCATTTTGAAAATCCATTTATAATCGACAACCCTCTTTCCTTCAAGTCTTTTCACCAAAACCCAAGTTTTTTTCCTTTTGAGTGATTGCATTTCATCTTACATTGCTGCAAGCCATTGTTTAGAGTCTTCACTATTTATAGCTTCCTCAAAAGACTCAGGCTCATTTTCAACCATACTTCAATAAGATAGCAAAGAAACATCTTCTTCAAACCTAATTGAAGGTCTTAATAGTCTTCTTTGTCTATCTCTAGCAAGTTAATAGTTATTTAAAGACTGATCTATTTCTAAATTAGCTTCGGGTTCATCATTAGAAACACCATTACCAGGTATTTCCTCATTTCTCTCATCAAGTTGAGCATTAGTTTGATGATTTTCATCATCAGATTGTTCCACCTCAATCTCATCATCAGAGAATATTCCATTGAAATCAACTCCTTCTTTTGTGTAAAATCCTTTGCGATTAGCCTAGCTTTATATCTAATGTCATTTTCACTTATTCCCCTCTTTTAATTTTGAACATCCATTTACAGTCAACAATTCTTTTTCTTTCAGGTCTTTTCACCAAAACCTAAGTTTTATTCCTTTTGAGTGAT